CCCTGGCGCCGCGAGCTGCCTCTCCCATGGCAGCGGCTCCGGGAAGGACCTGTGGAAGGACGTGGAGTGAGAGATGTGCCCCTGTTTTCCTACTGCCCCACTCCAACCCCCCGCTTCAATAAAGCCTGAGGTCTAGCCCGCTTCCCCAGCTCACCTGGAGCTGCGGGCGCGCCCCGGAGCGGCCCGGGATCCCGGCCCCGGGGCTCAGCCGGCCCTCACTCGTTCCTCGATTTCTCGCGCGGTACCCCGGGACTCAGAGGGGGCCCTCGGCAGCCCGAGTCCTAGACAGAGTTCCCGGGCTCGGGGAAGGAAACTTTGACCGGGCCCGGGCCCCCGCTCCCAGCTCGCCGAGTGCCCAGCGCGTCCGGGCTCCAGCGACGGCCCCTCCGCTCTCCAGAGCCCGCAGCCTCGCCGCCTCGCTTGTGCACCGCGCTCCGGGGTGCGCCGCCGGCGGGGTGGGGGTTACTCCGGCCCCAGTCCCGGGCAGAGCGGCTCTGCGGCTCCCGTTCTCAGCCTCCGCGCCACGGATCTTCCTCTCCCTCTGGCGGCGACGACGGATGGAAAGCAGCGCGGCCCCGCAACGGCCGCGGCGGCGTCAGCTTCTGCCATCATCCGGAGGGTGCCCGCACAGGCGACGCCGGCAGCCCCCGCTGCTCTGCAGCTCCGAGCAGCCCGGAAGGACCCTCAAGCACACCTCGGGGCCGGTGGACCCCCGTCCGCAGCGCGACCCTGCCCACCCCAGCCCTGCCACCACCGCTGCTTCGGGCCAACGAGGTATCGAGGCAGAAAAGACCCCCGCTGCCGCCGCCAAGTGAAAGCGGCGCCGGGGAGGATGCTGCGCCCCGACTCCCACTACGCCGAGCGGCAGCAACGCACCGGGGCCGCTCTGCGCGCTCCTGCCAGCGGCGCCGGGTTGGTGCGCGGGGCCGTCCGTCCGCGCGGCTCCTCCCCTTCTCTGCACCGCCCCGCGCCCGCCCCTTTCCTCGCCCTGCGCTCTCCCCCCACACCCCTGCTTGCGGCCGCCCTCCCTCAAAAGGACTGCAAATGTGCGTCCCGCTTTACAGCGGGTCCACTGGAGCTGGTCTCCGCTCACCCTGGGCGTAGCTCGCATTGCGCAGTGTGCAAGGGGGTGCGGAACGCGCTCGGACACCCAAAGCTCGGGAACCTTGGGGATGTGCATACTGCTTGCCGGTTTCGGCCTCACGTTTGGGGCTTTTTTGTTCATGGAAAAGAGTTGGTGGTAAAGTTTGGGGAAAAATCCGCCCGCGCCCTCCCGCTCTGCTCTCCCGACTCCGCGCGGCCAGGCTCTTAAAGCGCTGAGGACTCATTGTGCGCGCTCAGCGCTCTGAGGACGTGGAGGGCCGGCTCCCGGATCCAACTGCTGACCCATCAACCCTGGGGCTTCTCCTGCACAAAGGAAGTAATCGATCTTACAGAGCCTGGGGTCAAAGAAGACACTTCACTGTTTGGGGAGATGTTTTCGCCCTGTTTACTTTATCTGTGAACAGAGCTGCTCGGATTTCATTACGCCCCCTGGGGATGCTCTTCCATTTCCTCTAATGAGGATGTGTCCCTTGGGGTTGACAGCCGCCAGTTAGGGTGATGGGGGAGACCCTGCTCTGATGTCCACCAAAGTGCTTGTCCGGCTTCCCTGGCGTTACAGATGAGATTAAAGAACTTGACCCCAAAGAAAACGCCCTTATTCTGAAGGCATTTTGCTAATGATTGACGCGGTTGATCTACTTTTAAAAAGACAAAAAGAAAGAAATCAGGGAGCTCCGGTGGCTAGAGGTAAGAAGCTGCGCTGCAATCCCAAAGGCACGCGGTGCGAATCCACCAGCTGCTTCACGAGAAAAGGATGGACAATCTCCTCCCTTTTGATTAACTCCCTCTTAAAACATGCGGAGGGTCAGATACAGGTCTGTCCCGACTCGATGGTGCACAACAAAAATTAGCGCTCTTTCTCTCTCTGCCACTCAATTGAGCCTTAGACTCAACTTCATCTGTAAAAATGGTACGGATCTCATAACCTCTCAGTTCTTGATAAGATCCTGAAGGCACACAGTTGAAAACCACCACGTGTTTTTTTTTTTTAAACCTGCTGTAAGTGCTGCGTTCCCAATTAACTCGTTGGCACACAATCACAACGACAATGGGCTTTAGAGTGACCAGGAGGCTAAAAGTTCCCCTTAGGCCTCGCGGGCCACAGTCCATGAGCGCACAGCCCTGTGCAAACAGCCTGCAGAGCTCCTACCAGTATTGTTGTTGTTACCTACAGCCAAGCTGACTAGAATCTTAGTGCCCCTACACAATAGCTCTGAACCCTGCTCTATCCTGAGCCAATCGGACACATTCACCCTCAATTAGTTTTAAATTGCCAAATGATCTTTCATAAGAGCACGAAAATGTCAATAACCATTAGAAACTGCACATTGGCGACCGCGCCCCCCTCTGCCAGCGACACCCTGGGCCCAAGCCAGGCCCAGAGGCCTCTGAAACCCTTAGCCTAGAAACGAGCAAGTACTGTGTCTCAATAGGCTTTCAGAAGTTTAACAAGGTGACTGCAGAACTTGTCTTTGTACTATTTTGGGCCTCTTCAGCCAGAAAATCCTTCTAAATTTAAAATGTTGCCATTTGTGACTTTTTTTTTTTTTTTTTTTGTGAGCGTTACAGAATCCTTTGGAGCACCTGGACTCTTGGAAAGCAGCTGAACTCACATAGGTCTGGATTCGGAAAATAAAAATATTTAAAGAAGGGGGGGAAGAACCTAGCTTTTTGAGTGTGGAATTCTTTACGAGTGGAGCTAAATTACCCCCCACCGCCAACCCTGGTGGTTGTGATAGTTAGGATACGGCCTTTCTGAGGAAAAAAGAGAATTTATGTAAAGTAAGATGAGACGGATAAGCGAAGTCAAATTATCCATGCAGCTCTCGCAAGCAACAGAATTACTCTGGTTGCCAGTCAGAACAGAAAAACATTTTGAATCTCTGTTTACAGGTGAAGGTGGTTGGCTGTTTTCTCCTTCTGTTTCTGGACCCACACACCCTATTTCCCATGATGTCTCAAATTCGTCGCTCTCCTTCTCCACTACTCTCTCCTTGCAAAACCCAGTTTAAAATTGATAAATTAAAGGATAATGTTGATAAAAATAAGAAAACCTCAGTCATAGTTTAGGCCATGTTCAGAAACATTATAAATAGTTCATACTCATGAAATAAACCCCTATAGACAATTTCAGATACCTGAAACGATGATAGTAATAAAAGATTGCTGCTGGCCATCCTAAAACACCTGGTTGTGCTCATGTGAAACCTAGTCTTGAAGCAGGAAGCAGTCACTAGAACAGAGCAAGGAAACACTGCATGGTTCAAAATCAGGAAAGAAGTGCATCAGGGATGCATTCTGTCTCCATACCTTTTCAATCTGTAGGCGAAACAGATCATTCAGAAGGTTGCACTTTATGAGGAGGAATGTGGCATCAGGATTGGAGGAAGACTCATCTGCATTATACAGATGACACAACCTTGTTTGTCAAAAGTGAAAAGAGCCTGAAACATTTGCTGCAGAAGGTCTCTCATTGGCATTAAAGCTCAACATCAAGAAGATAAAGATTCTCATCACTGGGTCAGGTGACAGCACCATGATAGATGAAGAGGAGATTGAGATAGTTAACAATTTCAGTTTGCTTGGTTCCACAATCAGCACTCTTGACACCAGCAGTCAGGAAATCAAAAGATGAATTGCATTGGAAAAATATGCTGTCAGGGACCTCTTCAGAGTATGAAATAGCAACAGGGTCAGTCTGGAGACCAGGGTGCACCTGATCCAGACCAAGGTCTTTGCAATTACTTGCTGTGCATCAGAGAGCTGGACAATAACTAAGGATGACAGAGAAGAGTTGTTGCCTTTGAATTGTAGTTCTGGAGAAGAATCTTGAACATAGCATGGATTGCCAAGAGAACAAATAGGTCTGTCCTGTCCAAGTTGCTCCGTAGAGGTGAGTATTTTTAAGATCCGGCTCACACACTTTGGGCATGTTGCAAGGAGGGACCAGTCTTAGGAGGACATTATGCTTGGAAGGGTGGAGGGACAACACAGCAGAGGAAGACCCTGGAGAAATGGATTGACATAGTAACTGGAATAATGGAGTTAGGTGTTTCTGAGACAGTGAGATTGGTCCAGGATAGGACAAAGTTCACAACTATTGTGGGTAGGGTCACTATGAATGGCAGTCAATTGAATGGCAAACAACAACAATTTTATGATGCAGAGAGCTCTGGTGGCCTAGTGAAGCTCTACTGCCAACACAAAGGTCTGTGGTTCGAATATATTCGCTGCTTTGTGGGAGAAAGATGAGCTGGCTGCTCCCGTGTGATTTACTGCCGCTAAAAACAGCTCTCAGTTGATTCTGCTCAATGCACACCAGCATTTTGTGATGCATATCAAAACCTTATTCCTGCATAATTAAAAATGTGCTGTTGTTACTAAGTGCCATCAAGGCATCACCACTCCAAGTATTGCTATGAACAACTTTGCCCCTTCCTCACAATCCCATCCTCACAATTTGTGCCTGCCTTCACTCATGGCTGGAGTCATGTGTCAATGGATTGACAGTGGAAAAGGTCTTAATGTATGCTTAAGTTTTAATGTATGGAAAGGCAAACTATCTACAA